TCAGAATTCAAGGCACTGGCTCTCAGGGAAGGCTGTGTCTGTGGGCTGTTGGGAAGATCCTTGCCTCAGCTCCTCTAGCCGGCCATCCTTGGGGTTCCCGGGCTTGTAGATGGGTCTTCCTCCATCCTGTTCAGAGAGTGTTGTTCTTCCCCTGTGTCTGCCTTCTTCTCTGCCTAATCTGCTCTTTCATATCTCAAAAGCAATTGTCTTAAAACATACCCTACACTGACCTGGCCTCATTAACATAACAAAGAAAGCCCAAATCCCAAATGGGATTACATCTACCTATATAGGGGTTCAGATTTACAACACATATTTTGAGGGGACACAGTTCAACTCATAACACTGTTGAACCTCTGTTGTGTCACAATGGGCGATGTGACAGGATGGACTGGGGGCACAGGGGAATAGAGAGCTAGTTCTCAGGTGTCAGCTACTGTGGCCTCAGTTAATGTAATCAATCTACTGTTGTAAACCATTTCGTGTTCTCTGGGGCCTAACCTAATTGCCCCGTGGTGGTCCCAGGAGTAAATCCAAAGTAGCAGTAGTTAACATTGGAGGAGACGCCTCAAAAAGGTGGGACAGGGCCATAGAAGAGCCCGAAACAGGAACCTTAAGAATAGTGATTATTCTAGTTTGTTCTTGTGTTCCCTGCTTTATGAGAATATTAACAAAAAGAACTACAAATACTCCTAAGGCTAGAAAAATGTTTACCTGGTAAGTCGAGATGCCCCTTCTTTAAAGCTCTGAGGACGAATGTCATCTAATTCACCAAGATGCAGCCAATTTCCACTCCAACTCACCCCCCCACATATGGCTCCTAGTCGATACCAGGACGTTTCTTACCCCAGTGATGCCCCTAACCAGCAGGAAGTAGCTAGAAAAGAAGCGACAGCCTGTCTCCCAAGATTGAGAACCTTCCAATAAAAGGGGGGATTGGAAGAGGCTGCGCAGGCCTGTTTCACTATTATTTACTCCCCATTATTAACCTCCACATTGTCTCATGATCTTGATTCTCCAGTCTCTACAAAAGGTTTAAGATTAACTGATGTTCCTCCTTGGAGGGTAGAAAACAAGTGATAATGATCTAAGGGTGAAAACCAAACAAAGCACCCAGCTTGTAACAAGAAAAACCAGGATGTTGCCAGATAATCCCCAAGGATGTCACCAGACAACCCCCAAGAATACCAGTAGAAGATTAACTCATCTGAGACATCACCACCTCAAGGGGAAACTAACACAAACTTCTAAGACCCATAATCCAGTCCCTATAAAAGTCTTCAACCGGTCTCCAGTGGGGGAGATGGGTTTTTTGGAGGAATCTATTCCCCTCTGTCTCCTATATATCGATATATAATAAACCTCTTGCTGCTCACCTCAAAAAAAAAAAAAAAAAAAAGGTGGGACAACAAAAATTCCAATAGGCTCCTCATCTCTTGCTGTTCATAGGCATAATGGTTGGGTCAAAGGTGTTAAGAGAACCCAAATACCGAGAATCTTAGCGGAAAACACTTGTTCTCAACTACCTCTTGGGACAGTAGGGGTTCTCTGCTCAATTGCTTCCCCTCACTCTCCCCCATGGTAGGAGAGTGGGGTCATTTGATTAGTGATTTTGAAAGGATGAAGCATGCTCACTTCCAGCCTCCAGCTTCCATCTTTGTACTTATCTGCCTGAGGGACTGATAATTTCTATTCTCCTGCCTCCAATTACAGCAAAGTTAGTGAGCAGACTCTATTCAGTGGGGATGCCTGGACTCTTGGGGAGGGCTGGGCAGGGGTGGGTAAATTCAATTCAGTAATTTGCCTGCCTGCTGGCCCGCTTAGCTCACCCCTGAGCCCCAGATTTACCAGCACTAAAGCTCACATTCTGACTCAGTACCCCTCTCTCAGGTGTTCAGAAACCCTGGTGGCGTAGTGGTTAAGTGCTACATCTGCTAACCAAAATGTTGGCCGTTCAAATCTAGCGGTTGTTCCTTGGAAACCCTGGGGAGCAGTTCTACTCTGTCCTATAGGATTTCTCTGAGTCAGAATCAATGCAAAGGCAACAGATTTTGGCTTGATTCTCTCAGGTGTTCAGTCATAGAAAGAGGGGGTATTATTTTTGAATATCTAAAACACCAACTATAACCCTCCTTTGCATCTCTAACAGTATAACACAGCTTGGTTCACTTTGGGGCTGAACCAATGGCTCATTTTTAGTGGCTGTGCCCCACTGACCACTAGGAGGCACTGTGGTTCCACTGCCCTGCAATGGTTCCTTGGAGGCACTGAGAGAACTGCCTGGAAGTTGGGGCTTAGGAAAAACTCAGGCTTGGTCTCTGAATCCTGAGCTCCACTGGCAGACACTGATCCAGTAATCGAGAAGGGAGGGGAGGCCCTAAGGTGTCTTCCATTGTTGTACAAATGGCAATGCAACCCCCACAAGTTCAGCTGCCCCAGAGAACCCTTGCTCCCTCTCTGCTCCCACTTCCCTGGAGGGAGCTCCCTAGGCCTTGGATGTTGGCAAGCACAGTCGTGTCACTACCAGGCCACACCTTACAGGGCCAAGGGGACACAGATGTCCTTACTCTTTCTGCTCAGACTTAGATGCTCCCTCATCTGGAGCTGTCCTCATTTTCACTGTGGCCCTGCCATGGGCTCCAGGCTTCTCCACTGGGTGTCCTTTGTCTCTGGAGAGCCAGTGAGTCCTCAGGGATTTCAGCATCTCCACCTGCCCTTTCCCAGTCGTCAGTCCTGCCCACTTTGTCTTGGACTCTGGGTTTTTGTCTCCTCCACGGGACGCGCAGTAGCTCTTGTCACTCAGCTCCCCAGGCACAGAGTCACTCTGAGATATGACCCAAATCCTAGACATGATACTCTTGTCTGGTACCGGCATGCTGACAGGCAAGGAATGGACTTTCTGATTTACTTTCTGAAGGCAGATACACAGGACGACTCAGGATGCCCAGCCCCATTCTCAGTGGAGAGGGCTGAAGGAACATAGTCCATTCTGCAGCTCCAGCCTCGGAGCTGCAGGACTAGTGTGTACTTCTGTGACAGTAGTTAAGACACAGTGCTTAAGAGTAGTGTCTCTCCTACGCAAAACCACCCCTTCTCCCCTCTCCTCTCAGCTCAGAGCAGCCTGAATAGGAAACTTTCCCTGTGCCTCCTCCCGAGGGGAGCATAGAGAAAAACCAGAATTTATTCTTGACGTCCAAGAGTATCTCAAGAAAATGTGTGTGGAATGTTTGTGACTTGGGCCTTTCCCAGGTTCCTTACAAGAGCTCAATCTGTCCTCTTCTATTTTTTAAGCCCGTGTGTCTTATCATTTTGCAAATGATATACACTCGACTTCATAACTTAAAGGTTGGTGGTTTGAACCCACCCAGCTGCTCTGCAGAAGAAAGGGCTGGAGATATAATTCTGTAAAAATTACAGCCAAGAAAACCCAATGAGGCAGTTCTATTCTGTCACATGGGGTCTCCGTGCATTGGAATTTACTCCACAGCAATGGGTTTGTTTCTGTGTGTTTATCCTGGTGTAACTCCAGAAGGCTTTTTGCTATAATCTGAAAGACATAGGACTCGGACTGCAATTACCTCCTCATATCTGTTCTATTAGCAAGATTAAACAAGTCTCCCTGACGGAAATAAAAATGAATAAAAATCCATTTGCTACTGGTTTGAAGGATACTTAATGATAATGATGGTGGTGATGGTGACGGTGATGTTGGCGGTTTTTTTTAAGATAACTTTGTGTAGAATATATACATTTTCCAACTACTTTGAAAATTCTCATTTTTTAGTGGGACAGCTAGATTAATTATCAGAGATTAAAGCTAATTTTTCTTTCTCCAGAAGGTTCTTTTTTTTTTTTTTTTTTTTTTTTGGTGTAAATAGCATGCCTTGCTTATAAAATATTGGCTGTACTACAGACTCCCGATAAGACAGTGTTTTAGAAAGAAGTAAGAAGAAAAGCTGTGGTTACAGAAGGCGAGACGAAAACCCGTGCCATAAGAAGCTGTATATAAAATGAATATCAGGCATGTTTAGGGTAGTATTCTAGTCTGTTTCCCCAAACATCTGAAGAGACTCAGCATGGTAACAGGAAAGGCAGGAGTACTTACAGTGAGTACTGTGTACTCAGACTGAAAGAAACAAGGGAAGGAACTAGAAGGCTTAATCACCCCAGTCCAGTGGTGTGGTGGTCTGAGGACACAGATCTGGTAGCAGAATGAGGAACTGGATGAATTTCTAAGCCTCACTGTACTGCACTGTAGTGCACTGGTTTCCCTTGGCCAGTGTAGGAAGGAAGCATCTAGGGAGTTTCCCACTGGCCACAAGGAGGCATCATGCTGCCACTAATAGCCAAGAGTTGTAGACAATTTCTTGACACTCTCTAAAATGTGGACATAGAGGAATCCCTTGGCTAGGATGCTGTATTAGGGTGGAGATAGTTTGCAGATGGAGTCCCTGGGTAGTGCAAACTGTTGAGGCACTCGGCTGCTAACTGAAAGGTTGGAAGTCTGAGTACACCCAGAGTCACCTTGGAAGAAAGCCCACGTGATCTGCTTCCAAAAAGTCAGTCATGAAAACCCGATGAAGCACAGTTGTACTCTATACACATGGAGTCGCCATGAGTCGAGGTCTACTTGACAGCACCTGTTTAGTTTGTATACATCAGTCATCCATCTGTGATGTGGGTGCAAGATTCAAAAGCACCATCTCAGCAGGTTTGCAAAGCTGCGCATTTATGGAGGGACCTCTAAGCAACCTTACACCAAAAAAAAAAAAAAAAAATTGCTATCAAGTTGATTCCAAGTCATAGTGACCTCATGTGACAGGGTAGAACTGCCCCATAGGGTTTCCTAGGCTGTAAATCTTTATGGAAGCAGACTGCCACATCTATCTCCCACAGAGCAGCTGGTGGGTTCGAACCACCAAATTTTCTTTTAGCAACCGACTGCTTAACCACTGTATCACCAGGGCTCCTTAAGTCACTGAGCCACCCTATCTGATGTGAGAGCAAGGGGGTTGGGTGGAGAGGTCAGGAAGGATATGGGGCAGGGGCAGATAAGGGAACAGCTGACTCAAAGAAGCAGTAAATTGTTTAGGGGATAAACTGCTGCTCTGTGTCTGACCCAGCCAAGCCCAGACTCTCTGCCAAGCAGGAAGCTGGGTAATACAGAAGAGAGGGTGAAACTCACACAGTGACGTCAACAGCAGCTCTGTCACCACAGGCAAATCTACCCACCCAGGACCATGGATTCTGAACTGCCACTTCTCGACCCAGAGATCAGAGTCAGGAACAGAAAGATGTGCTACTCCAGCTTTGGCCCTACCATGGGTCCCAGACTTCTCCTTTGCGTGTTCCTTTGTCTCCCGGAACCAGGTGAGTCCTGGGCAGAAAAGACGTCTTTGACTAAGGCTCTCTTGTCCTCAGTTCTGAAGTCCCTGGGTGGTGCAAGTAGTTAACACACTTAGCTGCTAACTGAAAGGTTGGAGGCTCGAGTCCACCCAGAGGGGCCTTGTAAGAAAGGCCTAGCAATCTACTTCTAAAAAATCAGCCATTGAAAACACTATGGAGCCCAGTTCTACTCTGACACACGTGGGGTCATCATGAGTTGGAATCGACTCAACTGCAACTGATTGGTCCTCAGTTCTATGACTTTCTTTCATGGCAGCAACATCAGCCTCTTTCTTGACTCTATTTTTCTCTTCTCTTTCTACAGGTTCCATGGGTGCTATGGTCATCCAGAGTCCAAAATACCGGGTTACCAGTGTGGGAAAATTGGTGTCCCTGAGTTGTTCTCAGAATCTGAATCATGATACCATGTACTGGTACCAGCAGAAGCAGAGCCAAGCTCCAAAGCTGCTGTTTTACTACTACGAAACAAACTTTAATAAGGAAGCAGATACCTCTGATAACTTCCAACCCCAGCGGCCCAACACTTCCTTCTGTGGTCTTGACATCGGCTCACCAGGCTTGGCGGACTCGGCCGTGTATCTGTGTGCCAGCAGTAGAGACACAGAGGTGCCGCCTTGCCTCTCCTCTGCTCATAATCCTGCCGTACCCCAGATGCAAGAGCCTTCTCTAGGACCAACCCTCCTTCTAACAGCAACAACAGGAAGTGAGTTTATGGCTACCCTGATCTCATCTGTAGGCAGGAGCTGGGCATAAACCTGCAAAACCCATTTGTCAGTTATGCCGACAGTGGAAAAATGGCTACAATCACCTGATGTTCAGTTTGTGATATTTTCCAAGATAAACTTCATCACCACTCTTCCTTGAACCTTTGATTTAAAGTTAAATGCATCCTGTCCTCTTTAGCAGACAAGTAGAAACATCTTTCTTTTTTTTTTCATTGTTTGTTTTAATCTAATCTAAATCAAAAAACCAAACTCATCACCCTCGAGTGGATTTCGACTTATAGTGACTATTTAGGACAGAGTAGAACTGCCCTGTAGGGTTTCCAAAGAGCAGCTGTTGGATTTGAACTGCCAGTCCCTTGGTTAGCAGCCAAGGACTTAACCACTGTGCCACTAGGTCTCCTTAATCTACATTAGAGGCTTAGAAATACAAGAGGCATTATGTGAAGGATTGGGGAAACCCAATGCACATGAATGTGATTCTCTGGCATTTAATTAACTCCTACAATATTTAGTATGCCAGGAGAATTCACATGTTTTCAGTACAGATCTGGGGCAACTTCCACATTAAAAGGGGAATGAAAGTAGATATACTCCCCAAATAAAAATCTTCAGGGGAGAACCCATCTTAGATAAAAAAGCACTACACTAAAGTGCTCGTATTTGGAGTTGGAGGTGCTGTTGGAATGGCCAAATGGAAACCCTATATAGTAAAAGAAATCAGACTGGAAAGAGAGCATGTTTGGAGATGTTTAAGATGGAGTTATCTGAATGGAAAAGGACAATAAATCCTGAGAGACACAAGATCTCCAGGGAAAGCCAAAAAGGAAGGTCACAGGAGTGAGGGAGACGGGCTTTCCGTGGTTGCGCTAAAGGGGACACCTTTTGCCTTGTCAGAGGGGAGTGTGATGTCTTATGATATATGCCTGGGTGACAATGGTGTTCTGAATTAATGCAAAAAACATAAAGACTGATAAGCTTATCTACCTAAAAATGTAAAATCCTACACATTAAAAAAGTACAATAACCTAGAAAAATATTTCAAGGGTAGAATAAAATAGATTTTTATAAATTCTTAGTCTGTGTTTTAATGATAGTAATGATAGCTGTTGTTCTCTAAGCACTTACTACAACTAAACACTAAGGTTGCCTTCTTTTTTTAACATATATTAGCTTGTAGAAGGAAGGAAGGAAGGAAGATAGGCAGAAAGGAAAGAAGAAAGGAAGGAATGGAGGGATGGAGGAAAGAAGGCAAGATAGAGGTTAAAGTTTGGAGAGGCCAAGACAGCTAGAATTTGTGAGGTAGAATACCAGAGAGAAAGAAGAAGAAGCTACACAAAGAAAGAACTCCAGACACTGCATAAGGTTCTGTCTATAGGGATTGTGTTGGGAAAATTTAAAAAGCATTTGAGAAGAACCCAGATAACACTCACCAGAGCCCCCAGAAGGGCTATGCTTCGGTAGGGGGGCAAAAGTAGCCCAGAACAGGAGTTGGCAAATACAGCCCACAGACTGGACACCTATTTCTGTAAAGAAATTTTACTGAGGCGAGAAACACTTCAAAAATGGCATCAAGAGAAACTCCACAGACTCTCTTCCCAGTGTATTAACCATTTCTGGTGAAAAAACAACATTTTACGGTCCCGAGAAATTTTCCCAAAGGCATACAGCATATAGAAACACCTTCATTCAAGAAAATCTACTAAATCTTGGTACGAACAGTGAGTCTATGGCATTTGAGCCTTGACACACATCCCCAGCTTTGTGTGACAGAAGTTCTATCTCAGGTGGGTCAAGAACAAGGAACACTCCACTGCACCCACCCCATCTAGGACCACAGTTTCTCTCTAGAGGGGCAGACTGCTAGCATTTCTCACCCTCCTCTCTAGTTCTGTGTCACAGAAATGGTATTTCAGACAAACACAGCCAAGAGGTCTGGGCTTCCTTCTTCCATCGAGCACCCACTTGTAAGGTGGAAACTCTGACCGAGGCATAACAGGCCAGGATTACTGGGCCTGATCTTCCTCATCCAGCTTGTTCATTTTGAGGAGATTCCACTTAGGGAGAGGTAGACCAAGAAAACTAGTGGCTCTCACTCCCCCCAACCCCATACCTCACTCACAGAGCAGGGGTATTTTTCCAGGAGAGTCAAAGAAAGCCCAGCCAAAATCTCTATCATCCCTGAAGGAGTGGAGGTCAAGGAGACTGCATCATGCCAAGCCATGCCGTCTGAGGAGTGACAGCATCGCAGACTGCAGACAGCAGACGAAATGGGCTGCTCCATTCAAGTCATCAATCAAAATCACAAACAAATAAACAAGGTAAAGGTTGAAGCAAAGTAATCAGTACACAGAGCCACTGCAATACATTGTATAAAATGTTTAGATGTATTCAAAGTACTGAAAGAAAATAAAAAACAAATTGTCAACCAAGACTCTTATACCCAGCAAAACTATCACTCAAAAATGAAGGTGAAATAAAGGCATTCTCAATAAACACAAGTTGAGAGAAATTTTTGCTAGCCCACACACCTTACAGGAAATACTAAGGGGAGTTTTTTGAGCTGAAAGCAAGTGATGTTAGTGACATGTGTCATGTGATTTAAGCCAACACAAAGAAACAAAGATCACCAGGAAAGGTGATTATGTAGGTAATTACAGTAGATCGTATAATTGTATGTTTCTTCTCTTTTCTTACCTTAAATGACTTTAAAAGTAATTGCATGTAAAACAATACTTATAAAACTGTATTGTTGGGCCTGTAACTGTAGAAATGTGGTATATTTGACAAAAGCAGCACATAGAAGGTGAGTGGGAGCAAAGTTGTGTTGGAGTAAGAAAATGATGCTGTTGCTCTTAGTTGCTGTAGAGTCGATTCTGACTCATGGTGACACTATGCGTGTCAAAGTCAAAGTGTGCTTCACAGGCTTTTCAAAGGCTGATTTTTTGGAAGTAGATCACCAGGCCTTTCTTTCAAGGCACCTCTGGGTGGGTTAAAACCGCCAGTCTTTCAGTTAGTAGTCGAGGGCAAACCATTTGTAAATCAAATCCACAGGAAGAAATGAAGAGAATCAGAAATGGTAAATAAGAAGGTTAATAAAACAAACTATAAATATAAACTAGGTCTCCTTTCCTCTTTCAGCTTCTTTAAAAGAAACAGCAAGGGACTGCATAAATAAATGTTAATATAGTCACATGAGAGAATATTTGAAATTAAAATGAATAAACTTGATATATACAAATAATGAATCACAAACATAATTTTGAACTTAAAACACATATATCAGAAAAATAAATACAGTGTGATTTCACTTATAAAGGAAAAAAAGTGGTGCAGATTTTAGATATATTTACAAAAGTACAAAAGCTAGAAAAAATTCAAGGTATTACTAGAAGGAGTGTTTAAAACAATGGTCACTTCTGTGGGGGAGAGGGGAGGATGGTTTAGGGAAGAAGAGTGACTACAAGATACTGCTAAAATTAAGTATATCATCTGCTTTAGAGTACATGGGCATTAATTTTATTGAAATGCCTTCTACATTATATATAGTCAAAATATTTTTATTTTGTTCAACATAAAACATTTTTTCAAGAGTAAAGTGTGAGTATATGAGCAGGAAAAGGCCATGGAAAATCCACATAAATTACTGGTTTGTTTCCTGGGGTGTGTATGAATTTGTGAAGTAGTAGAAATGGCGAGGAATGGGAGATAATAGTGGCATTAAATTATTGTCCAAGACCTTTTCTTTTTTTTTAATGGAAGAAAAATAGAGACAGAGAAGCAAAGAAAGGCAAACTCAGCATGATTTAACTACAAATTGACAGTGTCGCATGGTCCCCCCTTTGAGCGAGGGTCAAGCTGCATCCCGTGTTTGTGAAGTACTCCTGTTTCACATACAGAGCCACACACCAAGACCATTGGGTTCTATGAAGTGACCATGTCACAAAGAAGCTGTGGAAAGGAGATGGGAAGCCTCAGAGAAAGCCACCTGCCTCCATTCTTCCCCAACTCTGCCATGCACCCAATAGTCATCAGCTTTATGGTTCTTTGCCTCCTGGGTACAGGTAAGTCTCTGTCCTGAACATGCCACTAGTCAGCCCCAAGTCTTTCCCTGTGCCCATGTCACCAGACTCCCTCTTGGACTCACTCTCCAATATCTGTCTCCTTCCCTTGCAGGCTCCTTTGATGCTGAAGTTACCCAGAGGCCAAGACATCTGCTCAAAGGTAAAGAACAAAAAGTAAAAATGGACTGCATCTCGATAAAAGGACACGGTTATGTTTACTGGTATCAGCAGATCCCAGCCAAAGAGTTCAAGCTCTTGATTTCCTTCCAGAACAAAAACGTCTTTGATTGAAATGAGATGCCGAAGAAGAGATTTTCAGCTGAGTGTCCCCAGTACTCAGCCTGCAGCCTGGAGATCCAACTGGAAGCTCTGCAGGACTTGGCCTTGTATCTATGTGCCAGCAGTGTGTCCACAGTGTGAAACATCAGCTACTCTTAGTGCACAAACTCATGGTGTCCCAGCACAGGAAGCAGGTGGCTCACTGGTTGGAAGGAAGTAGAGAAGCTAACTAGAGCCTCCCTTATCCAACAAGGAGTTTATTGCAAGGCTAAAGATGTATCCCCCCTGAAAAAAACAAACAAACTGGTTGCTGTCCAGTCAACTCAGACTCATAGAAACCCCATGTATGCAAAGTAGAACTGGGCTCCATAGGGTTTTCAAGGTTGTGGCCTTTCAGAAGCAGAGTGCCAGGCCTTTCTTTCCAGGTACCTGTGGGTGGATTCCAGTCACCAACCTTTTGGTTAGTAGTTGGGTGCTTAACAATTTATGTTGCCTAGGGACTCCATAGAACCCCAAAACGAGAACACAGACATTTCTCAGAAACAATCTATAATAGTCTTCCAACTATGACATGCCCAACTTTACAACTCAGTTCTTTTTTCCACCTTGACTCCTGATTCTTCCTTATTATACATTGTCCTCTCCATTTCTTAGCTCTCATAGTAAGTAGAAGATTGTATATTCTGACAGTAGTCTTCCAATCGCTCTGAGAAGGACGAGCTTAACTGTCTCTCAATATAGATAACAAAATCCAGAAGACAGGACAGATTGGCCCTGCTTTTCTCGAGAACGTTCTCTTCAAAAATCCACCTCTAGTCACAGGGAGCAGGTCATTTTCAACATGGCACCTGGGGACTGTCCCTTTGACTTTATGGATAAAGAGGCCAGGATTTCCTGGAGAGGAATATCCAGATTTGGGGCTTGGGCACCCAAGAGATGTCCATTACAA